CGTTGCCCCGCGACCGAGTTCGCGCGCTTCGGTGATGCGGACGGCCATCCCGATGGCGCGATCTGCGATGCCGAGGGCGGCGGCGTGGGTCGGCTTTTTCGGCGGATCGGCCGCGCGGCGTTATGGCCCGGACGGTGTCATGACCGGACGAGGTGCGCTTCCCCGTGTCGAACATCACCAAGGTCGCGCTGGGCGGTCCCGATGGCCGCCGCCTGTGCCACCACCGCGCGGCAGGGCCTGTCGGACGAGCAGCTCGCCGAGCAGGTCGGGCGGGCGACATCTTCACCTTCCGCGTGACCGTTCCCGCCAAGCCGGTGCACCGCGCCGCGATCTGGGATTTACCGAACCCGGCGTCTCCGGTGGCCCGCTCCCGCCGGGCGGGCGCTTCTTATCCCTCCATGGCGCTGCGGGTATCCTCCAGCGCCACAGATCGACGAGCAACCGCATGACCTCTCCCGCCCCCCAACATCGCCTGCCGCGATCGCGTCGCGACCTTCACATGGTCGGGCACCGGATTGCGGGGCAGCGCACGACCTTGAAACTGGGTGGTCGGGCGACCGCAGCGCCGATGCTGGGTCAGCACAACCAGCGCGTCGTTGCGCGTTGCCGCCAGCACCACATTATGGAACTCGCGGTCCGCCGTCCGCCCCGCCTCGGTCGCCAGCGTATGGCGGCGCATAGCGGCAACGCGTCGCGCATCTCCTTCAGGTCCGCCTTGTCGCGCGCTCGGCCGCCAGCCGCGCGGCGGCGGCGGCTCGACGATCGCGCGCAGTTCCGAACAGGCTGCGCACGAAGTGGATGTCCAGCTCGCCCGAAAAGGCCCAGCCAGCACATCGGGGTCGAGCAAGTTCCAGCGATTGCGCGGCAGGACGCGGGTGCCCGTCTTGGGGCGGCTTTCGACCAGCCCCTTGGCACTCAGCACCTGCACCGCCTCGCGATACGCGCTGCGCGACACGTCGAAGCGCCTCGGAAAAGGCGACCTCCCCCCGACAGTGTGTCGCCGGGGCGATATTCGCCCCGAGACGATCGCGGGCGCCCAGCTTGTGCGCGATCGCGCCGTGCCAGGCGGCAGCCGGTGCCGCGCGCGGCCTTGGGGCGGACTCCTCCGACCTTATATCAGCCATCCTATCCGCCGCAACTTCAGGCGGTGCGTCCCCGTTCGTCATGCTGTCACTCATCGCTTGTACCTCTCCGCCCCATCTTTTGCGCACAACCTTTAACATTGCCATCGCTCCGTCAAACTAATATGTCGGAGTAATATAAAGGAGCTTCCCCTGATGACCGATTTCCGTTCGATCGACGCCGCCACCGGTCAGCCGGTGGGCGACGCTCGCAGTCCACGGACCGGCCGATGTCGACGCGGCCTGCGCGGCCGCAGAGGAGGCGTTCGACGTCTACCGCGCCCACCAGCCGTGAAGAGCGTGCCGTCTTCCTCGACAAGATCGGTGCCGAGATCATGGCGATCGGTGACGAACTGATCGAAGCCGCGATGCGCGAGCGGCCTGCCGCGCGCGCGTCTGGAGGGCGAGCGTGGCCGCACGGTCGGCCAGCTGGGTCTGTTCGCCAAAGGTGCTGCGCGCCGGGGCTATCTTCAGGTCCGTATTGATCCGGCCATGCCCGACCGCCAGCCGCTGCCGCGCCCGACCTGCGCCTGCGCATGGTGCCGCCAGCCCCGTCGCGGTGTTCTGGTACCTCGAACTTCCCGCTCGCCTTCTCGACCGCGGGTGGTATACCGCCTCGGCGCTGGCCGCCGGTTGCCCGGTGATCTCAGGCCACCCCGCCCATCCACCAGACCACGGCGCGCTGGTCGCCGCTGCGATCGAGCGGGCGGTCAGAAGCCTGCAACCTGCCAAGGCGTTTCGGCCATCTAACCGGCCCGAGCAATGAGCTGGGCGGTGCGCTGATCCGCGATCCGCGCATCACGGCGGTAAACTACCGGCTCGCGCGCCGGTGGCACAGCGCTGGTCAAGATCGCGCAGGAGCGGCGGTGCCGATCCCGTCTATACCGAAATGTCGAGCATCAGCCGGTCGTCCCTGATGCCCGAGGCGCTGAAGGCCCGTGGTTCCGGCGCTGGGCACCGCGTTTGTCGGCTCGCTGACCATGGGTGCCGGTCGGTTCTGCACCAATCGGCCTGCTGCTCGCCATCGAGGGCGAAGGGCTGGACGCGTTCGTCAGGCCGCACGCACCGCGCTAACCGACGCAGCGGCGCCGACCATGCTGACGCCGGGCATCCACCCGCCTATACCAAGGCGTCAGGTCGCTGGCGAGCCACGCCAAAGGTTGGAAACGGTCGCGCAGGGCAAAGGTGGGCGAGGCGTCACCGCCAGTCGCCGCCTTCTTCCAGACCACGGCCAAGCGTTCCTCGCCGACGAGCGCTGGGCCATAAGTGTTCGGCGCGTCGTCGATCTTGGTCCGTTGCCGTGACGAGCGGAACTGATCGCGGTGCTCAAGGCGGCCGAGGGCCCAGCTGACCGCGACGATCCAGATGGACGAGGCGATACCGACATGGCCGCACGGCTGGTGCCGGTACTCGGCGCAAGGCGGGGCGTATCCTCGCCAATGGCTGGCCGACCGGTGTCGAGGTGGCGCATGCGATGGTCCATGGCGGCCGTTCCCTCGACTTCGGACGCGCGCGACCTCGGTCGGCTTGGCGGCGATCGACCGCTATCTGCGGCCGGTGTCTATCAGAACCTCAGCGCGCGCTCCTGCCCGGGGATCTGAAGGACGAAGCGGCGGGTAAGCTGCCCCGTCTGGTCGACGGCCAGCCGGGCTGAGGAATGACGGGCGCGTTCGGACCGGGAACGCGCCTTTTGTTGAAGAGACGATAAGGGGAGGAATTCGCTGGCGGATCGCCTGTTGCAGCATCGCGCACCCGACGGCACCCGTTTGGTCATTCTGGCACGGGAGAGCAAGCGGCGCTGTGCCGGGCGTGGAAACCGTCATCGCGCTGGCCGAGCGCGCTGTGCAGGCAGCCAGTCGCTGCTCGACACCGCGCTGGCCCTGCGGGGAGGGCGGGAGTGTCGACCTCACGGCCAGAGTTGGCGGCGGGCCATCTGATTGCGCCGATCGACCGCGAAGACCCGGCGCACTGCGTCATGACAGCACCGGCCTCCGCATCTCGGCTCGGCCGAGGGCCGTGACAAAAGATGCACCGCGATGCGGCGGCCGCCGCGCACCAGACCGATTCGATGCGTATGTTCTGGAAGGCGTCGAGGGCGGTAAGCCGGAGCGAAGGCGAGGTCGGCCAGCAGCCGGAATGGTTCTACAGGCGACGGCTCGCAGTTGGTTGGCCCCGGCGACGCGCTGGAAATGCCCCGCTTTCGCTGGGATGGTGGTGAGAGCCCCGAACTGGCGGGCATCTATCTGATCGGACCCGACGGCACGCCGCATCAGCTGGGTCACAATGCCTCGCTAACGGTTCAGACCATGTGACCGAGCGGCACAATTATCTATGGCTTGCCCATAGCAAGCTGCGCCCGCCGCGCTGGGTGCAGGAGCTGCTGCTGGGCGAGGTGCCCGATCACATCGGGGGACCAGCAAGATCGTCGGGGCGGCGAGACGCTGTGGAAAAAGCCCTTCCTGTCGGGCGAGGCGAACATGTCGCACAGCCTCGCCAATCTCGAGCATCATCACTTCAAATATGCGCTGTTCCGCCGTCCGGGTGACGTGCATGTGCATTTCTTCGGTTACCGCGACCCTGTCTTTTGCGGATGGCGTCCGGACGCAGGAAGGCGATGTTCGAAATCGCGGCGGCGCCCTTCACCTTGCCGCTCGCCAATCCGCTGGCCCGGACCGGACAAGCCGGTGACGGTCAGGCGTCTCCCTGATCGCCAATTCTGAAACGGAATGCCGCAAGGCGTCCTTCCCAAGTGGGGAGGGCGCCCTTGATGTATCCACAGTCCGATTCTCCGATGATTCTGCGATTCGGGCCGGTTGATTCGGCTCGCTACGCCGCGCAGCCGATAAAGGTTCCGTCGTAACGCGCCGCAATCATGCGAACAAACATATGATTTTATGAAAGATTTCTTGGTTTTTACGGAAAAATGAAAATCACTTGTTGACCGGCAGTAAGGGG